AATGTACAGACTGATTACCCGTTACAAGTATGTCGTAGAGGGCGATTAAATATGGATTTGTTTCTATCGAATGTTTTAGACCTAAAGGAGTAAATGTAAACCACAACCCAACGTATCAACTGTCCTTTAAGGGCAAACGAAGATAAACAAGCAGAAAAAAAAGAATAAGAAAAAGAAGAAGAAGAAGAAGATGTAGAAGAAGAAGAAGAAGAAAAAGAAGAAGAAGAAGATAGAGGAGGAGGAAGAGTGCAAGGAAGAGGATCAGAATAGAGGATAAGTTGAGGTAATGTATTTTTATTTAAGCCTTTTCACGCGATGGCTCATCGGACAGATGGTGTTAGAATAATATGTTTTTTAGAGTATCTATCCACGGTGCAACTGCAGCACCTAATGGTTTAGAAATCAGATCGTTGAGTTGCTCCGATATACCAAGGGAAGGGATTGGAATCGAATGTCCTTGAGTGGGTTCCGATGCTCTTTTTGATTGAGGAATGGAAGGCGGATAGGCCGACTGCCTCCAACCAAGCATGTCACATCATCCTATCTCATCCCATCTTGATCTTCTTTGAACCTTTGCGGTCTCGAGCTGAAGCATACTTTAGTGAAAGCTCCCGTCTGTGCGCATCATAAAGGGGGATGTTTGTATGTATGTAAATTATACCCTACTATGACATCACACAAAGCGATAAATACCTGGTGACACAAAGTGGCACCATGCGAATGAGGATCACTCATGGAGAGGTCCCAGAAACCCCGGTAAACCGCTAGGCCACGTTTCTGGCCCGTGGGGACGACTGTAGATAAATTGTAAGTATGATAAATGGGGTTTTCCATGGATTCTGTAACTCACGCCATAACTTTTCAAGATTCCCATGTCACAATTGCCGCGTCCGTGGCTTAGGCGTTGCGAGTCCGACTCGTAATTCCAACGTACCGCGATAAAAACCCACTGCTGGATTTTTATCGAGGTATGGGGCGCCGCAGTTCGACCCAGCCTAAAATGGGTATCAGGATGGCTGTCCTGGGAAAGTAAAGACGACCTGCATAATGCTGACCACATTACCCACCTAGTGCCGATTGGTCTGTAAAAATATGGGCGCTCTTTCCATATACCCGATGCGCCTAAAGGCGTGAAAAGGGATCTTTACTTTCTTTACTTGTTTTATATCACAGTTAGTTTTTTTTTTAAAAATTGTTTCTCTCTCTGAGATCGAACGTTTTAGGCTAAAAGGAGCAGATTTCGCAGCCTAGCTGCAAATCGCAACACAACAGGTCGACTGCACTTTTTAGAGGCGAACTCGGAAGAAAAAATAAATGGCTGTAATCTGGAGTTGCTAACTACGGGTATTGCTGATTCAAGCATGAATCAATATTAATGGACGGTTATCGGCTGTTTCACGACGGGTTCCGAAAACAACAGAAAATATGCGAGGTTTATGAATGCATTCAAATGGACTTAACTCTGTAGGGGGTCAAATGCGTAACCTTTTGACCTATGACGCGGAAGGGTCGTTGCTGTGGAGACGTTAATTTGAAATGCTAACAGTATTGTTATTGATACACAATTCACAAACTTAGAAATCGACTCTGTGTTAGAATATATTCTCTCTCTCTCTCTCTCTCTCTCTCTCTCTCTCTCTCTCTCTCTCTCTCTCTCTCTCTCTCTTTCTCTCACAAACTTACATTAAGGCTCCCAATTTCTCAATTCTCTCTAATCCTATCACTTACTCTCACATCATTGTTATGACTCTCTGACATTCACTTTCTCGATCTTTCTCATTTTCACTCACTCACTCACTCAATGACTCACTTACTCACTTACTTACCCTCTCACTCACTTACTCACACACACACACCTACTCACTCGCTCACCCACACTCGCCCATTTACTCATTCAGTCAGTCAGTCAGTCAGTCACTCACACATTCATACTTTCTCATTCACTCGTACTTTCTGACACATATTCTTTCACAATACATTCTTACTCTCTTTCTCACACCAAATTCACTATAACAGTAAACCATTCTCTTTATTACACACACACACACACACACACACATACACACACAATTTAACTTTTCCATTGATGAAGGTAACAACATGTCTTCAAAACTATGTACACAATCATGTAAACCACAAAAATAGTAAACAGCTGTTACAATTTGGCAACCGATTCTCTACAATAACTATGCTGACATCTGACCCTTGATTTTTTATAGGTAAACAGCAGTGTTAGTATTCGACTCTCTATACGTAAACAGCAGTGTTATAGTATTCGACTCTCTATACGTAAACAGCAGTGTTAGTATTCGACTCTCTATACGTAAACAGCAGTGTTATAGTATTCGACTCTCTATACGTAAACAGCAGTGTTAGTATTCGACTCTCTATACGTAAACAGCAGTGTTAGTATTCGACTCTCTATACGTAAACAGCAGTGTTAGTATTCGACTCTCTATACGTAAACAGCAGTGTTAGTATTCGACTCTCTATACGTAAACAGCAGTGTTAGTATTCGACTCTCTATACGTAAACAGCAGTCTTAGTATTCGACTCTCTATACGTAAACAGCAGTGTTAGTATTAGACTCTCTATACGTAAACAGCAGTGTTAGTATTCGACTCTCTATACGTAAACAGCAGTGTTAGTATTCGACTCTCTATACGTAAACAGCAGTGTTAGTATTCGACTCTCTATACGTAAACAGCAGTCTTAGTATTCGACTCTCTATACGTAAACAGCAGTGTTAGTATTAGACTCTCTATACGTAAACAGCAGTGTTAGTATTCGACTCTCTATACGTAAACAAATGTGTTTAACCAATGTGTCTCTACATGTGTGATAGCGGGAAGAAAGAAGGAGGGAAAACAAAAAGAAAGGGAGAGAAATAATAAGGAGAACATTGTGATTAGACAAAAGTCATAGTAGTTCCCCGCTAAACAACAAAAACAGAAAAGTAAAGAAAAGACAGGGGTTTTTCTCCGCAGAGATCCCAGATATTTCACCGAGACCCTAACTATAGATATCTGCATAATAACGTTACATGACGTCGACCTAACTACATGGGTACACACACCTAGACAACCACGGGCTACAGATCCTAAATTAAGTCAAGCAAATGAATTATGATCACATTAAACAGTTTATTTTACTCAACATTACATCAGCGTGGTCAACAAATAATGACATTAAGGACGACAAACTGCTGGAACAAAGTCTCAAATATATAGCGATCTACCATGCAACTATCTCTTAGCAAGAATACCAATGAAAATCTATTTTAAAACCATCTAACCAACTGACGTACCGTGATCCGAGCCAATCTAGCGTCGCTCAGCCAGTCCGGTCTGACGCACCTGTGCATTGCGACCAAGTGCAGTCGACAACGACAACAGGGCGCTTGACCGTAGCAAGCCGGAGTGACCACCAGATAGAAGAAGGCCAAATAATTGTCAGTCAGCCGTTTAATTACCTTTAGCACCCCACAATAAAAATTCAAATTATTTCCCTTGCTTCCCACCTTATTTTTTCACATTTCGCGTTTTTTATGGAGGAAATATGGAAAACACAATAACTTTTTGGTTTATGAATAGTTTTGCATAATTATTTAAACTGAAATAAAAAAAAATGATTTCTGCATACATTGATATGAGTTTTGTTGGTGTATGTTTGATAGGTGATGTGTGAGGACAGAGTGAAATGGGAAAAATGTAAAAAAAAAACAGTACAAACATAAAGACTCACCAATTAGTCATGCAGCTCCTCACAGCAATCTATCTTGTTCCTACTCATAATCTCCCTGAACCCAGGCATCTCTAGCAGACTTTCAGTAGTCCAATATAAGTCATATGAGGAACGAGGTGCAAGTCCCATAAGGCGCGTCACAGCAATAAACGATCTCATATCATCAGCTGTGACTTCCTTCCACTTCTTGAAAGAATGGGACAAACTAGCGTCTGCCCCCCTTTTTGGCCCTAACCTGCCCCTGGTAACGGTTAGTCTCGGTCACCAACATGTTCAGTATATCATCTGTAATAAACAGACGAAACATGTCGACCTCACTAATATTACCATGTAGGCCTATAGGTCCCACAACTTCAGAGACGTCGCGAAGCCAAGAATGGTTGTAACCAGAGGGAGCACGACCACTTACCACCTCGTCTTCCTCATCCGAAGAATCTGACACACTGGAAACAGAACTACCTTCACTTACGTCTCCAGACATATCAACTTCGCGACTGATATCGGCTGCAGCCAAAATCACATCGTCAGAGTCAGAATCCATGAAGATTTCAGAATAAATGGCTTCCATTTCGAAGGATGGTGATGGATATCGAACTGGCTCAGAAAAATTGATCACACAAACCTACTCTCGGACTCCTAGCAATCTAAACAGACAAAGAGGAAGTGAAACTACTCTAGAATAGTTATTTATAGTTTTCAAGTGACGTCACACGCGTAGCTTCGTTTAGGCTTCGTATTCCCCAACCATATATAGATGTCGAGTATACTCGACTGTGGGACGCTACGATGTGGGCGGCGGAAGTCCAATATACTCGACTGTGGGGTGCTATTAAATACCTCAGTGGCCAGATTTTTCCCGTGTTACCATCTCACACTAATAAATGGTAATGTTTCTCCTTTTGCCTGTTGGCTATTTTCAAACCAGAATAAATTCAAGATCCTCAGTCTTCTGAACTGTAGTCTTTGTCGTTTCCACCCTATTGCACATGTAAATATCAGTGTTCAGATTTGAACATTTTGTTTCATTATGTGTAAACAACAGTGTTAACATTTGGCCACTTATTCTCTATAAGTATACAACAGTGTTAACATATGGCTATCGATTATATATATGTAAACAACACAGCGGTAAGATTTGATCAGTGAGTCTGTATATGTAAACATTCGTTAATATTGCACCATTTATTCTCTATACGTAAACATCAAGGTTACCATTTGACCGTTAATTCTCTACAGGCAAACTGCAGAACTATGTGATGTCAGTGACCATGTCTGTCAGCGTGCTGTCCATCGTGGCTACGGGACTTGACCGCTATCTGGCTGTTGTTTACCCGCTAGGAGCCCGCAATTACAGGTACCATCACTATCTAAGGTCCCCGTGTGGGTTCCGGGACTCCATTGTGGGAAAAACAAGAATAGACCCACTGCCTCCCCAACAAGCATGTCGTAGGAGTCGACTAGCTGGGGACTTCCTCCGAAGTCGGAGTGCATCTGCCTGAGTGACAAGGAACAATCAACTGCACACAAATAAGTCAGTAAAACGGATGTACACGCAAAACTCAGGCCCTGGCACAAAGCCAAAGCCCAAATTGACGAATAATAAGAACTTTCCGCAGGAGGTTACAGTCGGTGAACTAAGAAAAAGAAGAAGAAGTATCTAAGGCCGTCTGTAGTCAGTCGACACTATCTCTGGCGTAGTCTTCACGATGTTCTTATACAGACTTCGTTTAACCTCTCTCTCTCTCTCTCTCTCTCTCTCTCTCTCTCTCTCTCTCTCTCTCTCTCTCTCTCTCTCTCTCTCTCTCTCTCTCTCTCTCTCTCTCTCTTGATGTCCTACTCAAATTTCACGCTGTCTTCCTCTTGTGTATTTCCATTTCACTTTTATTCTTAACACATACAATACGCAGGGTGACAATAATAGAGCTGAAAACGGGACACACCCACAAATATTTTCTGCTGAAAATTGGACATCCCTTTCTAGTCACTTAGACCCCGAAGTGTTTTTGTTTTCTTGGTCACCGGGGAGAAAGGGATAATTACTCACTTGACAATGTATTAAAACCTAAATCATTGTCGCTAAGAAATTCAAGAAACAATGTGCTCTGCAACCACACAATCGAAAACACCTACACAAACACGCAGACACACACACAAAACATGCTACAATGAGAATTCCCATCAAAGAAAGTATTTTATTTTTCTTGACGTCCTCTTTTACCACTTCGGGTGTCGAGGGAGATATAAGGTCCTGCTTGCTGGCTGCTTCGACCAAAGATACATTGTAGTACTGTAGAATTTTTCTGATGTTATCCTTCCATTATGTTCTTTGTCTAGTTTTTGCTCTACGTCCCTCTTCTCTTTTGGTATATGCCTTGAATTGTATAGCATCAGAAGGCATTCTCTCCAAGTGGGCAAACCATTTGCTGTTGCTGTCTTTCTATGTAATTTAGAATTGGCTCTGTGCCGACTTTATCTCGTATGTCCTCATTCCTGATTTTATCTCTTCTGGTCACTCCTATAGCCTTTCTCAGACGCCTCATTTCCATGGCTACTAATTCTCTTTTATGTTTTGTTGTTAGTGACCACGTCTTAGACGACCCCTGCGAAGGGCTCGTTCAACCCTAAAGGTCGCGACCCATAGGTTGAGAACCGCTGATTTAACACATCTGACTTAATCGTTTGCTGATTGTTAGTTTCTTGCCTCTGGGGAAGATGCACTTCGACTTCGAAAAAAGCCCTAATTAGTCGGCTCTTACGACATGCTTGTCGAAAGGGGGGGGGGGTGGATCTCTTCTTGCTTCCCCCAAAATTTGGTCCTAGAACCTAACCAGTGGAAATTTTTAATAAATAACAGTCTCTGTTTTACTGAAATGTTTTTATTTTTATTTCTTTTTAAACAGAACAGTCAAGAAGGCCGTGGCTGTTATTGGCCTGACCTGGATCTTCTCACTTGCGGTGATGGCACCTCGTGTTGTCCTCTTTGATGAAATCTCCGTGTGGCACATAACTGGCATGACAACTCTGTGTAACCGGGTTCACACCCATCAAATTCTCCAGCTAGACACGAGCCTCAACTTTGTCTTCATGTACCTCCTTCCCTTGACGGTTCTCTGCATCTGTCACTCCCGCATTGGACAAAGACTTTGGACCAGCAAACGGCCAGGTAATCCATTGGCTCGCCATGGACAAATGAGAATGCTTCTGGTTCAACACAAGAGGAGAATTGCCAAGATGATCTTTGCGGTCACCGCCATATTTGCCATTGGCTGGCTACCCATCCATGTTTATCACTTAGTCGAAGACTTTGATAAAGGGAACATTTTATTTGGACAAATTGTCGACCGAGGGACGATTGCATTGTTCTTTTCTTTTGGAGCCAATGCGCTGAATCCAATAATCTATTGCCTTTTTAGTAGTAATTTCAGAAAACACTTCGTCAAAGCTCTTCGTTGTTGGGGGCCAAGAAGAAACACTTCGGTTAACGGCGAGGATTTGGGATACTTCAGAAGTCCTGTAACTGTTGAAATCCAGCTGGAAAATCCACGTCCTCCACCTGTGTTGCTTCCCCGACCAGCTTCCCTTCTGACGGATTCGGCCTCCTATCCGGTCTCTGATCATATTTATATTGGCAAACTGACACAGCTGGCGAGTGCAAATATGCTTTCACTGCAACCATTGCTACACGAGGAATCTAAGGCCAACAGCAGTTGCTCGGAATCTTCGCCCACCTGTTCATCGTTCTCTGTAACAACGATGGCACAGGTCGAGGTTAATCCTTTTCAAATGGCGTCAGGTTCATCTTGTCGCCAAGAAGAGGATAGAAAGTCACCGCGGAATGTAGCATCCCAAAGCACAATCAATGTTAATGCTCTTCATTATGGCCATTCTCACAATTTAGAACGAGCTAATTCATTAACAAGACGTGCCTGTAATTTCACAAAAAGCCAGAGACGTCGGTCTTATGACAGTTACAGTTGTGACAAAGAAGTACTAGGGGCATTTAACAGACTGAAAGACAATTTTACGAGTCCAGATGTTTCAGACCATTCTCAAAGACATAGTAGCTATGATAAACCTAACAGTCCAGGGATGACCGAAACACCCAAAAAGTATGATAGGCGAAATAGCTCGGAAAAGACCGAACGGTATAGAAATGACAAACGTATTAGCCCGAAGAAGCCCGAATTTTGCCACATTCATTACAGTCAGGAGATGATCGAAGTAGGCAGCAGCCAAAATAGACGGAACAGCTTGGAGATAACCGAAGTTCTCCATAGTCCTTCAAAACTGTATAGCCTAGAGGTGATCAGTGTACGCCAAAAACCTGACAAACGTGACAAAATGTCCAGTTACGAGCGTCACCAACAGCAAAGTCCAGTAACATCTCAAGCCATGGAGTCGAAAAGCCTCTTGTGATATTTCCTCGTTAACAGAACGTAGTGCCAACACCTCTGTAACAACTAACAACACTTTTTGTCGAAGCATCGAACATCCAATCAAAATTTCTAGCACATCAGACATTGATTTACATGTAAAGAAATTAATCAGTTCAGACTGCAGCGACCTAAATGCAAGAAACGGAGCAACTGTAACAACACCTTTCTCAAAGTTATCAAGAAGTCAAACAGTTTCCAGCTTATACGATACGGTCATCCCAGGAATGAATTCAGAGAGCCGCACAAACAGCAAACAATCGACACCAGTCTCAAGCTGTATGAATTCATTATTAAGTACGAGTTCTCAATATCTCTCTGCAGAACGAGGAGATTCCTCCAAAGAGACGAAATACATCGGCTGCAAATATAAAGACAAGACAGCACAAAGCGAAATCTCTCAATGCCTGCCGCCTGTAGACTGACACTTCTATTAGCTATTGCGTTTCTGAATAATTTATTTGCATGTTTTCCTGTTACTAACTTGTTGCGTCATGTTGAACGTCGCGCTTTCTCGATCACAGCTTCATTCACCAGATCTTCGCTGGTGCTGGTAGAACATCCAATGTCCTTTTTTAGGTCGATCACGAACAACAACAAAAGGATGATGATAATGGTAAAAGGGGCAGCGACATACAGAAAATATTGGGGGGGGGGTAAAGGGGGGGGGGGGGTGGAGCAGTCATCCCCTGGAGGAAGAAATTGGTACATGAAGCAACGACTTTCCGGCAGACCGTGATGAGAGCGACGTTCTGCAAAAGGACCTGCTACATGGTGATGAAGAGCAACGACTGATAAGATTTGTGGATAGAAAAAGTAGATGAAGACAGCGCAGGAATATTCTGGACAGCCTTTTGTTTAAAAGATGGAGGGGACGCTAACACGGTTATGTGATCTGGGAGTTCAAGTTTGGTAAAGCACGTCTATGCGGTCCTCGAGGTCAAGACAGGAAACACTATAACCGATTTTTAATGTGAACAAGAGCTACATCACCTTGGAGTGGCTGCTGTACTAGAGAACCGAGCACCTTGGAGTGGCTGCTGTACTGGAGAACCGAGTACCTTGGAGTGGCTGCTGTACTAGAGAACCGAGCACCTTGGAGTGGCTGCTGTACTGGAGAACCGAGTACCTTGGAGTGGCTGCTGTACTAGAGAACCGAGCACCTTGGAGTGGCTGCTGTACTGGAGAACCGAGTACCTTGGAGTGGCTGCTGTACTGGAGAACCGAGCACCTTGGAGTGGCTGCTGTACTGGAGAACCGAGCACCTTGGAGTGGCTGCTGTACTGGAGAACCGAGCAACTTGGAGTGGCTGCTGTACTGGAGAACCGAGCACCTTGGAGTGGCTGCTGTACTGGAGAACCGAGCACATTGGAGTGGCTGCTGAACTGGAGAACCGAGCACGCATGGCATATGTCTAGTGTGCATTGTCATCGGTTGTAATAACATAAAATAAAATAACAATAACATAAACTAACATATAACATAATATTGCATTGTGGGATGACGGCACAGGAATTATTGCATGCTGTCAGAGATCGCAGGCTGTGAAAAGTCGTAGTCGCCCACGCTAAAGCATTCTCCTTCTTTAGCATCCCGACCCCTTGAGGTTCTTTGCTGCAGATATCACCCGCCTCCAGTCATCTCACTGGTTGGTCCTCTCTTTCCAGTTGGTGACACCAAGTGTTTGCAGGTCTGTCTGGACATTATCTTTCCATCTTCTTCTTGGTCTGCCTCATGGTCTATGACCACTGATCTCCCTTGTTTATAGTTTTGACTTCTCTGTCACCAGACATTCTCTCTCAATATGCCCCAACCATTTAAATTAGCTCTGATGATGTCAGTGATCCGGGGTGATTTAAACAGGTTATAAATTTCGTTATTTCTTCTCACTCTCCATTCCCCGCTGTTTGCATCTTTGATAGGTCCAAAGATTCGTTGTAAGACTCGTTCTCGAAAACCTGTAATAAGGCTTCATCTCTTTCAGCTGTGCTCCAGGTTTTAGAGCCATATAACAGGACTGGTCTTATCAGCGTTTTATATATTTTGATCTTGGTGTTGCGAGACAGACACTTTGACTTCAGCAGATGCTGAAGGGCATAGTATACTTTATTTCCAGATTATTATATGTATTATATAGATTGTATTTCTTCTCTCAGCATGTTGGAGCAGTTGAAGTTTACATCTAAGTACTTATATGTTTCAGTTCGTTTGATTTTTATAGTATCTACTTGTACGTGGCCGGAGTTTATATCCTTTTCCAGTCTAAATATTATCATGTATTCTGTTTTATCTTGATTGATAACTAGTCCCATTATCTGAGCTGATTATTTTAAGACAGTCAGTGTTTTAACAGTCTCTAGTTCATTATCTCCAACGATGCCAGTGTTATCTGCATATCCAAGTATTCTTGTAGATTCTTCTATAGCACGCTCTTATTTTAATTTCCTATTAAAAATAGGAATTATCTCCAGGGCCAAGTTGAACAGAAGTGGAGACAGAGCATCCCCTTGCTTTAAATTAGATGTTGCCCGGCTCTCTAGCGTAGTTGGCTAAACAGGATTGCCCGGAGACCGGAAGACGAACTCCTTGTGGTCCGGGTTCAGTCCCGGGGGTAGGCAGGAAAGCCACATTTCTCCCAGATTTACGGTATTTACAATGGAATCAAGGCCGAAAGGTTGCGATATCCACAATACCGAGCCTAAGGGTTAACAACTCATGGCTTCTGGATACTAAAACAAACAAACAAACAAACTAGATGTTATGTGAAAAGGGTCTAACCTTCTGCCTTTATGTATTACTTATGTATTATATATTACATAGCACTTGATGATGATAATTATGAAGACTGTTTATTCTGTGTCTGCAACTCCCCACCTCTGACGTCAGCTGTGGACAAACTGTTGACAGTACAGTCAAAATGATTCATTGACAGAAGTAGGTCTCAGGTCTGGAAAGTCCAGACAGACATAGTGCTGCAGAAACAATAAATAGCGCAGTTGTCTGGGAAGACTGAACACGTACAGGCTTGACCTGGGTGCTTTGCGTTTATTTTTTGAAGACAATAAAATGTTGCTATATCAGCTGCTTTGTTTGATTATGTGCTGTTTTGAATAATCATGCGCAAGAGTGCGTTGTTGCGTATGTGCGCGCGCGTGTGTGTGTATGTGTGTGTGAGTGTGTGTAATAAAGAGATAGACAGATGGAGAAATAGAGTGTCTGTGAGAGAAAGAGAGAGAATGAACAGACACTATTTGGCAATATTACGAAGTGTTTTCATTAGGGGGGGGGGGGGGTGTGGGGGGGGTGGGGGGGGGGGGGGGGGGGGGGGGGGTAGGGGGGGGGGGGGGGGGGGGGGGGGCTTCAAAGTTCCATGGTACCCTATCTTTACCTAGAAAATGTTTACGGTAAGGCGCTCCCCTCCCCGCCCGCTCCCAATCACAATGTTTACTTGTTTTCTTTGTGTCGGTGCCCCGATAGAGAGAGAGAGAGAGAGTGAGTGAGAGAGAGATAGAGAGTGAGTGAGAGAGAGACATAGTGATTGAGAGAGAGAGAGAGAGAGAGAGAGAGAGAGAGAGAGAGAGAGAGAGAGAGAGAGAGAGATATGTATCAGAACCAACTGACAACACTACTCGAGGCAGATGGCGCTCCCGTGGTGGTGTAGCCACTAGATGCTGGCCTGAGGATCGGAAGGTTGTGGGCTCAGGTCCTGGCAGAGCCGGACTATTTTCCAAAACTGGACAACACCACCCACCAATCGCTGATTGGTCTATAAAATATAGGCCTAGCCCTATATGCCAAGGACGCTTAAAGGCAAAGAAAAAGGTCCTTTACTGACTTTGCTTACACGAGCGAGGCAGAAGATTATCAGTCACTGCCTTCTAACTTGTCTTGATTGGGGCACCTTCCGTTTTTTCCAGAAGATAGTGTCCATGTTTTGCGTGGTCTACCTCTGGTTCAGTTACTGTAGTATCTGTCAAACATTGCTCTCAGTCACTGACATGCTTACGACATGCTTCTTAGTAGACAGTGGGTCTATTCTCCCGCCTTCGACAATTTCTCTTCGAGAAGATTCTGATCTGCAATTCTCAGGCAGAAGGCGGGCTAAAAACCACTGTTTTACTCACTTTCTGAAATTTTGTTTATGAATTTTAATATAAGAATTCTTTTCTTGGTGTGAACATCAGAGATATCACACCAGGAAGATCAAAAGAGAGTGGACAGACCAGAACTGAACGCATGCCATCATCATCATCATCATGACATTCATCATCTTAATGACCATCAACATCATCATCAACACAATCATCGTCATCATGACCATCATCATCACCAACACAATCATCATCATCATGACCATCATCATCACCAACACAATCGTCGTCATCATGACCATCATCATCACCAACACAATCATCGTCGTCATGGCCATCACCATCACCAACACAATCGCCATCATCATGACCATCATCATCACCAACACAATCATCATGATCATGACCATCATCATCACTAACACAATCGCCATCATCATGACCATCATCATCACCAACACAATCATCATCGTCATGACCATCATCATCATCAAAACAATCATCATCGTCATGACCATCATCATCATCATCAACACAATCATCGTCATCATGACCATCATCATCACCAACACAATCATCATCGTCATGACCATCATCATCATCAACACAATCATCATCGTCATGACCATCATCATCATCAACACAATCATCATCATCATGACCATCATCATCAACACAATCATCATCATCATGACCATCATTATCAACACAATCATCATCATCATGACCATCATCATCATCAACACAATTATCATCATCATGACCATCATCATCAACACAATCATCATCATCATGACCATCATCATCAACACAATCATCGTCATCAACACAATCATCGTCATCGTTGGCAACATCATGTGCATGTTGGGCTATTATATTTCAGCCACGGCTC